CTTTCTTCCCTGCAGGTCGGGCCCCGGCAAGCGGCGGGGCGGCCGCGGACCGTCGGCCTGGCCAGCGGCAGCGCTGATCGGCGGGGTGGCCACGGAGCGTCGACCCGACCCCAAGAGGGACGGACAGGGGACCGACCACGACGACGCCGACGTCGTCGACGACGGCGGCGACGACGACGACGACGACGGCGACGACGACGACGACGACGAGCGAAAGCGAGAGCGAGAGAGGACAGCAGGGCCACGAAGGACACGAAGTAGGCCACGGAAGGGCGACAGCGGGGACACGAAGGGAATGCGTATGGGGCCACGAAGAGCGCGAACGAGCGTGGCCCACGAAGGGCAGATAATGCGGGGCCACAGAAAGCAACGCTGGGGCCACTGAGGGTAACAACTGGGCCACGTAGGACAGTGAGGGGGCCACGAACGGCGACAGCGGGGCCACGAAGGGCATGCACATGGGGCCACAACGGGCGCGAACAAGCGGGGGCCACGAAGGGCATACGTATGTTGGGCCGCGGAGGGCAAGGACGGGGCCACTGACGGCAGCAACGGGGCCACGATGGGCAGCGAGGGGGCCACGAAGGGCGACAGCGGGGCCACGAAGGGCATGCTTATGGGGCCACCACGGGCGCGAACGAGCGGGGGCCACGAAGGGCCATGAAGGGCCATGAACGGCAGCGAGGGGCGCGAACGAGCGGGGACACATACGGGGGCCATGAAGGGCAGCGAGGGGGCCACGAAGAACTGCAACGGGGCCACGAAGGGGAGCGAGGGGGCCACGAAGGGCTGCAGCGGGGCCACGAAGGGCTGCAATGGGGCCACGAAGGGCAGCGAGGGGGTCACGAAGGGCTGCAACGGGGCCACGAAACAAAGCGAGGAGGCCACGAGGGGCTGCAACGGGGCCACGGAACAAAGCGAGGGGGCCACGAAGGGCTGCAACGGGGCCACAAAACAAAGCGAGGGGGCCACGAAGGGCTGCAACGGGGCCACGAAAGGCAGCGAGACTCTGATTCCTATGTCATCTGTGAGGGAGTCCTGAGCGTGAGCGCGACTCCTGGGTGCCTGGGTGTCGGGAGCGCGGCGCTTGAGAAAATTACAAGAAATTCCAACGCAAGGGCGCTATTCGTCAGTAAATTGCAAGCAAGTCTCCAGCGAGAGCGCGACTCCAGAGCGCCGGCGGAGCGATTCCTGCATAAATTGTAAGGAAATCCCAAGCGAGAGCGCGATTCCTGAATAAACTGCGAGGAAGTCTCGGGCGGGAGCGGGGGCCTTGGCTAAATTGTGAGAAAATCTGAGGCGGGAGCCGTTGTTATTGTAACCCAGGGGCCAGGGGCGCAGTTTGAGCATCAAGACTTTCCCTGTCAAAAAACCGGGTGCGATCGTCGAGAGGCACACTTAGATTGAGAAAAAACAGCATGCACCGGTGAGGGGGGATCAACAAGATTTTTGTCAGAAATGAGAGTTCAACAAAATCATGTTAAGACTGTTCGCTCCTATCTGCTCACGTGCTAGTCAATGCGTATATCCCAAGCCCTCGGTACCCGCCCTCGTCGTCTTCGATCGTACCCCCTTGGGGGTATATCTTCCTTACCTGCCACGTGTATTTAGTGCAGCCCCTAAAACAAGGGAAGAGAGGACGGGTGGAAGGGGGAGGGAGAATTATGGAGCACGAGAGAAACTAGCAGGAGGGGACCAAGGAGCAGAAGACAAGTGGTGGAACTAGACGAGCAGATCGGGTGTGCAGACCCATAGCGGGCAGGTCGGGAAGGCGGGCCCAGGCGACGAGGTCGAGCAAGCGGGTTGCTGAAGCGTGGGTTCTGCATGAATCGCGAGAGTCTCGAGCGATAGCACGATTCCTAAGTAAATCGTGAGGAAAGCCAGCGTGGGCCACGAAGGGCATAACATCCGAGGCCACACAGAGCAGCGACGGGGCCGCTGAGGGCAGCAAAGGGGCCACGAAGGGCAGCGAGGGGGCCACAAAGGGCGACAGCGGGGCCACGAAGGGCATGCATATGGGGCCACGACGGGCGCGTGCGAGCGGGGGCCACGAGGGCATTCGAATACGGGGCCACAGTGGGCGACAGCGGGGCCACTGAGGGCAGCAAAGGGGCCACGAAGGGCAGCGAGGGGGCCACAAAGGGCGACAGCGGGGCCACGAAGGGCATGCATATGGGGCCACGACGGGCGCGTGCGAGCGGGGGCCACGAAGGGCATAGAATGCGGGGCCACAAAAGGCAGCGACGGAGACACTGAGGGCAGCAACGGGGCCACGAAGGGCAGCGAGCGAAGGCGACCGCGGAACCAGTACGGGCAGCGAGGGGCATCGAAGGCGGGCGAAGGGCAGCGAGCGGCGACTGCAATCATTGACGGGCTGGTCGGGCGGGCAGGCCCCGACGGGTGTGTCGAGCGGGCGGGTCGTTGAAGCGTGAGTCCTGCTTGAACCGCCAAGCAAAATATAACGGGAGCGCGATTCCTGAGTGTCGATGACCGGCATCTA